TGCACCAACCAAGTTTCTGTTGTCTTCAGGAGACTGAACTTACAAGGAATCACATAAACTTAAGGTAAAGGTGTGGGAAAAGATATTCGGTGAAAATGGACACCAAAAGCAAGGAGGAGTAGCTATTCTTATATCAGACAAACAAACCTTAAAGCAACAGCAGTTAAAAATGGCAAAGAGAGACATTATAGAATGATAAAAGAACTGGTACAACAGGAAAATATCACAATTCTAAATATATATGCACCTAATACTGGAGATACCAAGTTTATAAAAACAAGAATGAACTTGAACTCGACTCTACAACAAATGGACTTAACAGATATCTACAGAACATTCTACTCAACAAATGCAGAATATACATTCTATTTATCAGCACATAGAACATTCTCCAAGGCAGACCATACAACAGGCCACAAAAAAAGTCTTAGTAAATTTAAGAAAATTGAAATTATATCAAGTGCTCTCTCAGACCACAGTGGAATAAAAAAAATCAACTCCGAAAGGAACCCTCAAAATCAGGTAAATACATGGAAATCAGAGAGCCTGCTCCTGAATATTCATTGGATCAACAGTGAAATCAAGATGGAAATTTAAAAATTCTTTGAATTCAATGATAATAGTGGCACAACCTATCAAAACCTCTGGAATATAGCAAAAGCATTGCTAAGAGGAAAGTTCATAGCATTAAATGTCTAAATCAAAAAGTCTGAAAGAGCATGAATAGACAATCTAAGGTCAGACCTCATGGAACTAAAGAAACAAGAGCATTCCAAACCCAACCCAGCAGAAGAAAAGAAATAACAAAGATCAGAGCAGAACTAAATGAGTAAGGACCTTTACACAGCAGCTGGACAGTGAGGTTAGAACTGCCATTACTGAGGCAGTTCTAATCTTAGATTTAAACATAAGACCTAACACCATAAAAATCCTAGAAGAAAAGCTAGGCAACATCATTCAGGACATGGGCATAGGCAAGGACTTCATGGCTGAAACACCAAAAACAATGGCAACAAAAGCCAAAATAGACAAATGGGATCAATTAAGAGCTTCTGCACAGCAAAAGAAACAATCATTAGAGTGAATCGGTAACCAACAGAATGGGAAATATTTTTTGCAAGCTACTCATCTGACAAAGGGCTAATATCCAGAATCTATAAAGAACTAAAACAAATATACAAGAAAAAAGCAAACAACCCCATCAAAAAATTGGTGAAAGATATGAACAAACACTTTTCAAAAGAAGACATTTCTGCAGCCAACAAGCATATGAAAATATGCTCATCATCATTGGTCATGAGAGAAATGCAAATCAAAACCACATTAAGATACCATCTCATGCCAGTTAGAATGGCAATCATTAAAAAATCTTGAGACAACAGATGCGGGAGAGGATGTGGTGAAAAAGAAACACTTTTACACTGTTGTTGGGAGTATAAATTAGTTCAACCATTGTGAAAGACAATGTGGCGATTTAGAACTAGAAGTACCATTTGACCCAGGAATCCCATTACTGGGTATATACCCAAAGGATTATAAATCATTCTTTTATAAAGACACATGCACATGTATGTTCATTGAGGCACCGTTTACAATAGCAAAGACTTGGAACCAACCCAAATGCCCATTAATGATAGACTGGATGAAGAAAATGTGGCACATAGACACCATGGAATACTTTTCAGTCATTAAAAAGGATGAGTTGATGTCCCTTGCAGGGACATGGATGAATCTGGAAACCATCATTCTCAGCAAACACAAGAACAGAAAACCAAACACTGCATGTTCTCACTCATAAGTGGGTGTTAAACAATGAAAATTCATGGACACAGGGAGGGAAGCATCACACACTGAGGTGTATTTGGGGGTGGGGAGGCTGAGAGGGATAGCAGGGGGTGGGGATGTTGGGGAGGGATAACATTAGGAGAAATACCTAATGTAGGTGATGGGGGGTTGGAGGCAGCAAACCACCATGGCGTGTGTATACCTGTGTAACAATCCTGCAAGATCTGCACATGTACCCCAAAACTTAGTAAAAGAAAAAGAAAAAAAAATGGCATTCACAGCAACCTGAATGTAACTGGAGACTATTATTCTAAGTGAAGTAACTCAGGAATGGAAAGCCAAAAATTGTATGTTCTCACTCTTGTGGGAGCTAAGCTATGAGGACACAAAGGCATAAGAATGATATGTTGGACTTTGGGGATTTGGAGGAAATTGTAGGGGGTGGCAAGGGATAAAAGACTATACATTAGATGCAGTATGCACTGCTCAGGTGATGGGTGCCCCAACGTCTCACAACTCAGCAGTAAAGAACTTATGTAACCAAACGCCACCTGTTCCCCAAAAACCTACTAAAATAAAAAAATAAAAACTTTTAAAAACTGTATTAACCAAAATATTTCTCTTTTGCCCAGGCTGCTAGGAGACTCTGGGACAAATCTAAATCTTCACTTCAGTAATTCATTTATCCTAGGTACCTAACAATATCTATTTTGCTTTTCCTTTAAAAGCTAAAAGATAGTCATTTCAACAAATAGTGCCAGAATCATCCACAGGCGAAAAGGTACACACACACACACACACACACACACCTTATACCCTACATAAAAATTCACTTAAAATAGAATACACACATAAATACAAAACTATAATACTCCTAGGAGAAAATCTAGATGACCTTGGGTTTGGTGATGATGTTTTCGATGTAACACCAAAGGCACAATCCATAAAAGAAAACACTGGACTACATGAAATTTGTAAATTTCTGCTCTGCAAGAGACACTGTCAAGAGAATGAAAAGGCAAGCCACAGGTGGGGGGAAAAAATGTTTGCAAAAGAGAAGTAATAAAGGACTGTTATCCAAAATATACAAAAATACAATAAAATAACACTGGATGGCAACTCAAATCCACAGGAATAAATGCAAATATATATATTTATTTGCATTTGTTAGTATAGTAAACACTATATGTACTTCCTTTTCTTTCTTAGCTTAATTAAAAGGCACAGTATTATATAATTAATTAATTATAACAATGTATTTAATGTATATAGTTGCAATACACATAATAGTAGCACAAAAATGTTGAAGAAGGAATAATGCTATATGGGTGTAATATTTCTGTACCTCACTGGAATTTGATTAGTATAAACTCAAGTGGAATCTAAAATTGGCTCTTCAGAGCTACACAAATATGTGAACATCTTAAAAACCACTAAGTATTTTACATAGGCATATCACAGGGTATGTTATTTTGTAAAAATATCTCAGTGAATTCCAGGCAGAATCATATTTTAAAAGAGTTAAAGCCAAGAGAGGATACTGTGAGGGAGGAAACTTATGAATGTTACTAGATTGTAAATTACTTTAGCACATAGATTCTCTTCCTACATGCTTAACCTTATCTTCCCTAAAATGGTCTTCTTGTTGCCTCCCTGTTTATCTAAGAATCTTTGCAAACTGACTTGAAATGAACCATTCCTTCTTATGTGTACTAGTTGGACTAATAATCGGAGAGGCTAAAATATGACTGTTCAAGTTCCCTATTTTTATGTTTCTATAGATCTGTTTATGTTCACAAAATATAGCTGTGTACTTATAGAAAATATATTCTTATGTGTCTTGTTCATTTTGGTAATGATGCCTCTACTGGTCCATACTTTGGTTTAGATTTCACTGGTGGTATATTTGGGCTTCAGAAGTTACACTGTAATACTTAACATTTATTCAAGAGCTCAGCCATAGAGAGCAAAACTTCTACTCTGTGGTATCTGGGTCATTATAAGTTTCCAACTTTAGTTACATAGTCTCCTATAAACAACTTTCTCTCACAAAATATTAGGTCATTTAGTTGACCCCAGTCACCCATCCTAATTGTCCCTTTTCAGTATTAACTCTCCCTTCATAACTTTCATGTAATATTCTTGTTATATGACCTAGTCAGTAGTTTTCAAATCCAGCAAAAAATTCAAATCACATAAAAACTCCATTGTGAAGTCATGCAATCTCAATGCTAATGTTCTACAAGTGTACTTGCTTCATCCTCCCCAGCTACAAAGTCTACAAACTTAAGAAAATATGAAAGTCACACTTTCACATTCCACAAAATATCGAATTTTTTTTTACATTATTGATAAATACTTGATTTACAGTTACAAATCTTAGAAATTACATGAAGTCTTTTTGAACAAATCAAAGAACTTTGCCCCACAATAACTCTCTGTAACTGTAGAGACAATGGTTGGCAAATTGACCTATTTTTTAAAATTTTGTGTTTTATCTTACCAGGTATATCCCACAGTAGATAGTGCTATTGATGTAAAATTTAAAGTTCTATTACATCATAAACTTTCTAGGATAATTTTAGTTTGCATAAAAGATGTCATTATGTGATAAAGTCACTGGTTAAGGAATTATAAAGTGTCAGTTTGTGCTTGTCATTATCTTGATGTGGTCATGTTCAAATCATGAAACTTCGTGGAACTTCAATATAATAGGCTTAAATGATTGCCAGTAGCCCTTCAAATTCTGCTTTGTGATGCAATATAATGTCTGATACTGCAATCAGACATTATATTTTGATTCTTCTACTATAATAAACTCATCACTAGTATTACACATGCACATGTAACACATACACATGAAATATTTACCTTATAAAATATATTGAAATCTGCTTTATTTCTATAGCAACTAGTAAGGAACTCTTGGCAGAGCTATTGGAAGAGGGATAATAAAGAGGTCAATTAAAACACAATTTAAAAGTCACCCAGGTAAAAAAAAAATCAAGACTAATACTTTTGGTTTATTTATATTCCTGGAGTTAAGCATGAAGCTTTAATGACAATCGTACCAATATGTTAGTATTACATAGGTAAAATTCTAAGCGGACATCCTCCTGTAATTAAACACACACACACACACACACACACACACACACAGAGATATGGTAATGTTTACCTTACAAAATATATTGATATCTGTTTTATTTCTATAGAGCCTGATAAGGAACACTTGGCAGATGCTATTGGAAGAGGTATAATAAAGGGACCAATCAGTGTACAACTAAGGGGTCACCAGGGTAAGAAAAAGAATTTTTCACATCTAATATTTATGGCTGATTTATATTCCCTGAGTTAAATTAAGTATAGACCTTGAATGACAAAAGTACCTATATTAAAGTGTTACATAGATAAAATTATTCATGAATATCTTTCTATAATTAAACACACAAACACACAAGTATGGTAATGATATTGAAATCTGTTTTATTTTTATAGATATTGATAAGAACTTCTTTTCATATGCTATTGGAAGAAGTATAAGGAAGGAGTCAATTAAGGCACAATTTAAAAGTCACCCAGGTAATAAAAAACAATTTCAAGACTAAAATTTATGGTTTATTTATATTCCTGGAGTTAAATTGTATGTACATTTAATGGCAATAGTAACTATATGTTAGTATTACACAGGTAAAATTCCTCATGAATATAATCCCATAATTAAACACATACACACACACACACACACACACACACACACACACACACACACACAGAGGTATGCTAATGTTTACCTTATAAAATATATTTAAATCTGCTTATTTCAATAGAGACCTATAAGGAATTCTTGGCAGATGCTATTGGAAGAGGTATAATAGTAGGGCCAATCATTAAACAACTAAAGACTCACCCAGGTAAGAGAAAGAATTTTTCAAGTCTAAAATTTAGGCTTATTTATATTCCCTTAGTTAAATTAAGTATAGACCTTTAATGATAACAGAACCCGTATCATAGTGCTTTCCATAGCAATAATGCTATTGGAAGAGATGTCATAAAGGGACCATCAATGCACAATTAAAGAGTCACCAGGGTAAGAAAAATAAATTTTGAGTCTAATATTTGTAACCTATTTATGTTCCCTGAGTTAAATTAAATATAGACCTTTAATGACAACAGTTTCTACATGTTATTATTACATAGGTACCTATATCATAGTATTACATTGGTAAAATTCTTCATGAATATCTTTCTATAATTAGTTAAACACACACATATACACATGTATGGTAATGTTTACCTCATAAATTATTTTGAAATCTGTTTAATTTCTATAGAGACTGATACAGGACTCTTAAAAGATGCTATTGGAAGAGATATAATAAAGGGACCAATTAATACACAATTAAAGAGTTACCAGGGTAAGAAAAAGAATTTCTGAGTCTAATATTTGTGACCTTTATTTGTTCCCTGAGTTAAATTAAGTCTATCCCTTTAATGGCAATAGTGCCTACATGTTAGTGTTACATAGGAAAAAATCATCACGAATATTCTTTAATTAAGCTCTGGTATTTACTATCACTGGAACATTAGCAATACATTGTTGGTTTTAAAACTCGTCCATTTGAAAAGTAATCCATAAAAATTCAGTGTTACAGTGGCCTTAGAGTAGTCTCAGTGTAGCCATTTCCAAAGCAATTCTGCTTACTTTTTGTTTCTGGAAAGTTATGTTTAATTCGCAAAAGCAGAAAGGCTAGCTGAAGACTGTGATGACAAGAGGAGTGTAACAGATCATTATTTCACTGGTTATCCATTCCCTCTATTTGATGAAAATGCCAGGCAAATCTATAAAATCTCACCTGCAATACAGTACTTTATTTGTGTTACATAATTCAGAGATTGTACTACCGGCTTGCGTCTTGGTGTAAGAGTGTTAACGTAGTTATATAATTATCTTTGATCTCTGGTATGATGCAGAAAGAGGCAGACAGCTTAACAGATAAATAAGGTTAAGAGACACATTCAAAGATGGCCCTCTAAATCCAAGGTACTGGATACATGTTCAAGGCTCTGCCCCTTGGAGAGCAGCAGTAGCACTTAAACTATAGGCAAGACTTTAGTACAATAGCCCAGTCACATGGCTATGCAAATAAATAAGAAGAGAACAGTGACAAGCCCCAGATAAAGGAGGAGGAAATCAGTATCTGGAGATGTTACAATATACTATGGAAACTGTCAAATCTTTAGCAAAAATTATTAATGTGCAAAGAAACAGTGAAGTGTGACCTACGCCAAGGAAAAGGGAATGCCACAATAACTGTTTGTGAGTCCCAGCTGTTAGATTTAGCCAACAAAACCTCAAAACACTCAAAACACACATAAGTGTGTTCTTAGAATTAAAGGAAATTATTCTTAAGGAAGAAAAGGAAGTTAATAGAAATATCAGCAAATAAGATAGAAATTTCAAAAGACCACACAGCAAAACCCTGACTCTACAAAAATACAAAAATTATCCAGGCGTGGTGGTGCATGCCTATAGTCTCAGCTACTTGGAGGGGCTGAGGCTGGAGAATCACTTTAGTCCAGGAGGTTGAAGCTGCAGTGAGCCATGTTCGCACCACTGCACTCCATCCTGAGTGACAGAACGAGACCCTGTCTCTAAAAACAAAGAAAAGAAAAGAAAAAGAAATTGCAAAAGAAAAAAGAACTAAAATACATATCTAACGTAAGTGGTTACCTTACAAAGTGTTTTGAAATCTGTTTTATGTCTATAGAGACTGATACAGAACCTTTGACAAATGCTATTGGTTCAAGTAAAACAACTGGTGAGAGAAAGACACAACCAAGGACTCACTATGGTAAGAATAATAATTTTAAGTCTAATATTTACAGTTTAGTTATATTCTCTGGGGCTTAAGTATGAATCTTTAATGACAACAGTACCTACATGTTAATATTTCATGGGCAAATGTCTTCATTAATTTTCTCTTGTAATAAGTTAAACTCTCATATTATCAATGGGAAATTAGCTAGAGAGTTTTAAAACCTCCAGACAATGATTTTAAAAGTATGAGGTTTATAATTCTCTGTTTCAGTAAATGTTTTCTATAATAATTCATGTTACTTTATAACAATAGGATTTATGAAAAATAAATAAACATTTGAATTGGGGCAAGGGGATCCAGTGGCTTATGAGTAGACCTCCAATCTCCAAAACTATCATCCTGAATGTTTCTTTTAAATATAGACTACAGATCAATTATAGAAATGAACATTTTGTCAAAGTAAAATGAAGTTGAGATAAACGTTGAAATTAAGGAAGATGCTATCACAGAATGAAGAACAAAGACAATGATGAGAGACTGCACAGAAATTTAAGTGATAGACAAGTTGCTATTTAATAAAATGTGGGAAGAAAAATTACCAATGCAGAAATAAAGAGAAATACATGGAGTTGGGGACTAGTGTGTAAATAGTCAAGAGTATTCATGCACTGTTCCTTTTAAATTTTTATTTTAGATGTGAACGTATTTAAACATAAAGATATGTCCATACAACGTCAAGAAGGTATCTTTACTAGGAGACTTACACCAAGTAAATTCCCAACAAAAGTAATCAATTTATCACCCTTTGAAAATAAAGGTAAGGAATTATGTATGAAGATATGAATTCAGTTTCTAATTACTACAATAGTTTTAAAGTATGCTTTTTCATTTACTCTTTTCGCATCTTTTTTTATTCAGCAATACCTTAGGAAAATTCTTACAAGCCTAAAAATAAAATGTTTTAATTCATTCTTTTTATTGGCAGCATGATACTTCATAATAAGAATACTTTATTCAATCATTCTATTAAAGAGCATTGATTTTTTAGGATTGAGATTTCTTATTAAAGTACACATGAATTTTTAATGTTAAATGATATTTCTAGATTGCTTTCCCAAAGGGCTATTAAAATTAACATTTTCTTCAGCAATCTTTAGGGGAAATGCTTTTCTCTGCATAACTATCTGCAATATGGGTTGCTGGGTTTTTTTGTTTTTTCATTTATACCCATCTGAAATTACTAAATTAGATCTGAATCTTATTTTAATTTTTATTTCCATATTTGTTAGCATTTTACTACTCCATATCTACCCTAAAACTTTCAGTTTTAAAGCATAAAACAGTAACCACTTAGATAACTGATGATCATCTTGGCTGGGCAAACTTACGCATTTTTGGTCAAATTATCAATTTGCCACATGTATAGGAACTGGCTGGCTGTTGTTTGAGACAATACTATGCAGAGTGGGCCTATTCAGTAAAGAGAAACTTCACTGGTTGTTTGAAAAGAAAGCAAGAATGTAAAAAGTAGATGACTAAGTATAAAGTTGTTAACTTGGTAACTGAAAGTAAAAAAGAATTCTAAGGTTACATGGAGGAAGCAATTACAGAAAAAAGTTGCCATACCCAGAACTGAAGGAGAACTCTGCGTAGAGTACAGATTGGATAGTGCTAGAGTCCCTGTTTCTTCAGGCAGGACCTTGGATCCATACTTCTGAAGTGGGGGCACTGGCCAGCTACTGCTAGTTTCTAAGCAGGGAGGAATAATAAAACTGGCTCTGCAGATGTTGGGGGAAAATTTGCAAACTGTTTGTTGCCATAGGAGGAATTTCTACTTCTGGGATAAGGGAACAATACTGGGATGTCCTTCACAGAAACTGAAAAGAGGCAGGAACCTCTCAAAGCCCACAAGGAACAAAATGAGAAAAACAAATCTTTTTCCCTCTAAATTTACAGTCTTCCTCTGTTTAGCACCCCCTATTTCATGGCCTAACATGGAGCTACTTCATAAAGCAAAAATGTGTTCTGTAGAATCCCAGATCCGGTATCATAAATCAGAGTGTAGAAGGGTGGTTTCGGGGCTATACTTGACCCAGGAGGTAAACTTGCCTGCATGTTTCTCACCATCCAGCCAACTAGCTAGGAGTCTTCAAGTTCTAAGAGCAGCGTTCAAACAAGCCTCAGTGTATAAGCAGTTTTGCAGTCTCTGCTCACATTCATTTACTTTTGTCGTGTTCACCAATAACTAAGACCAAAGAACATCGATACAAATAGGCAAGAACACAGAGACCATCACTGAAATCAATCCACCACAGTGTTCACAATGATTGAGAATATTCATGGCTCTCCCACATGCAAAACAGAATCATCTCTTCCCAGGACTCCACAAATTCTTATCTAATTTTGGCATCAGTGCCAAAGACTATTATATTGTGTTATATAATCATTTTCAGAGGCAGCTTCTATGATATGGCTTCTTTTGATACAGAGTTTTTTTAATGTTACTTGTCTCTCACAACACACACACACACACACACACACACACACACACACACACAATGTAACAGTGGTGAGACAGGGACAGACCACAGAAGACACTCCCATTAACAAAAAGGGGGCAATAACAAAGGCAGATATGGCAGTCAGTAATCCATGCCATAAGGTCACCTATTTCACCATTCAATAGCATTATAATTTTCTCAGTAAAAAACACATGAAAAAATTAATGAACCAGGATGTTGGAGGAATGGAATGCAGACTGGGACAAATGGAACTGGTCATTTCTAGTCTCTATTTTATTTCCTTCTGCTCTGATTTTTATTTTCTTTCTTCTGGTAGCTTTATGCTTAATTCTGCTTTTACTACTTCTTTGAGGTGCAATTTTAGGTTGTTTATTTGATTCTTCTTTTATGGTGTAGACATTTAATGTTATAAACTTTCCTCTTAGGACTACTTTTGCTGCATCCCGTAAGTTTTTGTATGTTATGTCTTATTTTCTTTTGTCTATAGATATATTTTAATTTTCTCTTTGATACAATAGTTCTTCAGGAGCATATTGTTGGATATTTCAAAGATCTATTAAGTTTCTTTATATTCTCCTACTAATATCTAGTTTTATACCATTGTGGTCAGGAAAGATATTTGATTTAATTTTGATCTTACATTGTTAAGACCTCTTTTGTGGCCTAATGTATGATCTATTCTGGAGAATGTTCTATATGCACTTGAGAAGAATGTGTATGCTGTTACTATTTGCTAGAACATTGTGTAATTGTCTGATAAATATGCTTTATCTTATGTGTAATTCAAGTAAGTGTTTATTTATTTTCCATCTAGATGACCTATTCAATAGTAGGGGATATTGAAAGCCCCTGCTATTATTTTGTTGCAGTCTATGTATCCTTTCAGGTTTTTTAATGTTTGCTTTATATATGTAGATGCTTTGATGTTGTGTGCGTATATGCTGTGTATTAAAAATAATTACAGATGTCAGCTATTGTATAGCTAACATATTTTCTAAATTCTTCTAGAGGAAACTTATGAGTACTCTTCACCCTATGCAACTGCACCTTCACCCTATCTGACTGCACCTTCACCCTATGTGACTGCACCTTCACCCTATGTGACTGCAACTTCAAAAGCAACTTACAGAACGTATAGGGCTGGTTCAAGCTTTTCTAAAAACATGTACTTTCCTTTACTGAATCAACTCCCTTCAGGTAATTTTTAATATTTTTAGTATACAACATGATTTTTTAAATAAAGCTACAAGTAAATGTAAATAACCAAGTTGTAATAGCTTAGTCATATAACAGTTTAGCAAAGCATTAATGAAAGTAAACTGTGAGTTAAGTTTATCTAACACGTTTATTCTTAGCAGATGAGTGGTGTCGCTGGCATGTTTCTTCCTCCATTGTGACAAAATTGGAACTCCATTTCTTTTCTCTACCTTCTTGTCTTGTTCACTACTATAGATTTTGTGCATGACTGAGATAAATTCATTTTATAATCTCTTTCTTATATTTATATGTCCCTCTTTTATTCAATCCCAGGGAGAGCATACAATAGAAAGACAACATAAGGATAGGTGAGAAGAACAGTATATCATAGGTTTGGTTTTTCCCTTCCTTTCATTACCATATAACTAAGCTCCTAACTCCATTAATATCTAAAAACTAAGATTCAATTTTTATCTGCCACTCCAGAGGCATCATTATATAATTATCACCCTGGTACATTTTCTACAGTTAATTGCGTTTGAAACTTTTTTTTTTTTTTTTTTTTTGGTAGACGTGGAGTCTTGCTATGTCGCCCAGGCTGGAGTGCAGTGGCACGACCTTGGCTCACTGCAACTTCCACCTCCCAGTTTCAAGCAATTATCCTGCCTCAGCTTCCCGAGCGTTTGAACTTTTTAACAAATGTAGATGATTTTTCTTTGATTTATTCTGTGCGCTAAATAAATATACATGGCACTTTCTATCCATATAGATTCTAAGTAAAAAATCAACAGGAAATGCAGAAAGATGACTATATTTTAGTTTTTTACTCTATACAATATAAAAGGAAAAAGAAAACAATAAAAAGATATTTGGATTTGCTGCTGGGAAAGCAAATAAATGTAAGCAAAGAAAGCAAATTCCATTTTCTTTCCCAGTGAGATAAAAGAAAAAATGGTCAGAAAATATATATAACAAAAGAGGAACATTTAAAATAATAAGCAAAATCCTGGGCTTCAGTGGATACAAAATAAAGTTGACAAGATATGATAGGACCAAAAAGGAGAGTTTATTGGTTGACACTTTTAGCTTTTTTTTGAGACAGAGTCTGCAGGCTGGAGTGCAGTGGTGCAAACTTGGCTCACTGCAACCTCTACCTCCTGGGTTCAAGCTATTCTCCTGTGTTAGCCCCCTGAGTAGCTGCATCTACAGGCATGCACCACCACACTCATCTAATTTTTGTAATTTTAGTAGAGACGGGGTTTCACCATGTTGTCCAGGATGGTCTTGATCTCTTGACCACATGATCCACCCAACTCAGCTTCCCAAAGTGCTGGGATTACAGGCATGAGCCACCACGCCCGGCCTATCCTAGCTTTTTACAGCTTCTCAAGCTGGGTCAGTCATCTTTCACTATCTTTTAGATAAATGTAATTGATTTGGGGTTCACCTGTTACTTCATATCACCTACAATACTACTTTTCATTAATGTAGCTTCTGGTTTTTCCTACAATTTGAGTTTTCTAAGCCAAATTCTTTTCTTTGATGAAAATATTAATTATAAGCCCTAAAGAAAGAGGAGGAGAATAAAATTAATAAATTGTCTGAATCATCTATTATCTATATTTATACTTTATGATTAATGAGCAGTAATAATGGTCTTCTGTTGTGGATTGAATGAAAATTATAATAGAATAATTTTTAAAAATTTTTTCATGAAAGCATTCAGCCTTTGAATCTAAAAATAATGGCAGATAAACATTTTTCAAGCAAACTCTTGCCTTAAGGAATGGAAGAATTGAATGTTTCATTTCTGGGCAAAAAATATACTGAAGAAAGTCAACATATTAATGTAAATTTCACTCACTAACTTTGAGAAGGTACCATCCAAATGTTTCACATTCTGCTTTTAATCTCAGCATTCTACCTCCAAATAAGCAGATGTCGAAACTAGTTTTAATTACATAGTTTTGTTTTTAGCAGTGACCAAAATACATACCTTTACAATTGTATTTCTAATATCTCCTCCTTAATCATAGCACTAGATTTCTCATTGTGGGATATAAACTTTTTTAAATAAAATGATAAAATGTTTTTATGTAGAGATAAAAACGTATCTAAAAGTTTGCATTTTAATTATTTACATTTTTTTTGCTGTCCTGCAAAAAGGCTCATTCTCTGACATTTTTATCTATGAAATTTCTAGTCTTTATTTTTTTTTAAATACTTCTTACTCTTAGATTAAGGAGTTATATGTGCAGGTTCGTTACATGGGAATATTGCATGACATTGAGGTTTAGGATATGACTGGTCCCATCACCAGACAGTGAGCACAGTGCCCAATAGGCAGTTTTTCAGCCCGTGACTCCTTGCCTGTCCTCACTAGGGATCTCCAGTGTTTATTGTTTCCGTATTATGCCCATGCTTTCCCAAGGCTTAGCTCCTTCTCATAAGTGACAATATGCTACCACATTTGGCTTTCTGAACCTGTGTTAATTTGCTTTAGTCTTTCTTTTTTCTTTATTTGTACTCTTATAATATACTCTTATAAATATCAAATACCAGGCAAGAAAAAAATCAGAGAGAGAATATTTGTGTTAGGTAAGCTGCTTCATCTAAATTACTGAAAAAAGTTGTAAGGAAACTGCATTTCAGAAGACTAAGATTTATTTTGACATTTTAAAAGTTGAAATTACTTAATTTGCCAAATAATTTAATAACACTGTTCTCATTTTTTTAGGGCATTCGAAAGTTGTTACCTTAAATCGAAAAACTATTGACTTTACAAATACTCTGCCTGCTGTGACCACAATTATAAAACCTACCTATAAAGGTAAAAGAATCACTACAATATAGATATATAAAATTAAATCTGATACTATATTCTCATTGTCTCTGTTTGCCAACCTCAAACCCTCTGGGCTTCCTCCTCCAAACAACTAATCTTATGAGCGAGGCATAGTTTCCCAAACCTTTCTTCAAACATGTAAAAGTATGTATATAAACACAGAGGTTTGTGGTTCTGAATAATAACAGGATTATATGCTTATCCTCCTCCCTTTTGACCCAGGTAAATTGACAGAAATTTCTTTAATCTGCTACATTTTTAAGTTGCTGCATGATATTCTAAGATGTGAATGTGTCATAATTTACGCAATGATTCCTCTATTGAATAACATTTTATCATTGTTTTTTGCCACTACAAGCAATGGTGCAATAAATACCATTGTTCATATAGATCTATATCACAGTGATTGCATTTCTATAAAAAGAACATGTAAGTGAGGTTGGTGCATTAAAGGTATATATCCTTTTAATTTTAATAGATATTAGCAAACTTTTCAAATTACTATAGCTAGTAGTTCTGCTAGTAAATGCATGAAATGCCTATTTCTAAGCATCTAAGCCAGAACTAGACTTTTCATGCATTGGAAATATTAAGTATATTAAAAAATATTGTTAAAAATGTCATTATCACTCAAAGTGATCTAAGATTAAGTGCAATCTCTATCAAAATCCCAAATTCCTTTTTTTTTTTTATAGAAAAATAAGAGTTTTGTTTTGTTTTGTTTTGTTTTGTTTTTAATTCTTAAGACAGCAGTTCCCAACCTTTTTGGCAGCAGGGACCAGTTTCATGGAAGACAATTTTTCCATGGAATGGTAGTGGGGGAGTGGTTTTAGGATAATTCAAGTGCAATTACATTTATTGTGCACTTTATTTCCATTATTATTACACTGTAACATATAATAAAACAATTATACAGTTCACCATAATGTAGAATCAGTGGGCACCCTGAGCTTGTTTTCCTGCAACTTGGTGGTCCCATCTGGGGGTGATGAGTGACAGTGACAGATTATTGGGCATTAGATTCTCATAAGAAGCATGCAACCTAGATTGTTCACACGTGCAGTTCACAATAGGGTTTGCACTCCTATGAGAATCTAAGGCTGCCATTGATATAACAGGAGGCAGATATTAGATAGTAATGCCAGCAATGAGGAACAGCTGTAAATACAGATGAAGCTTGCTTCACCTGCTCACCTCCTGCTGTGCAGCCCAGTTCCTAACCTGCCATAGACCAGGGGCTGGAGACCCCTGTCCCTATAAGGTACACTGATAGTCAAAATAACCTTGATAAAGAACAAAACTGGAAGACTTACACTTCATAATTTCAAAACTTACTGCAAAGCTACAATAACCAAAACAGTATGGTACTGGCCTACAGACAAACACATAGTTTGATGGAATAGGATAGAGAGCTGAGAAATAAACCCTCACATTTATGGTCAAATGATTTTTGACAAGAGTGTTAAGACCAATAAGTAGGGAAAAAATAATCTTTACAACATATGACACTGAAAAAACTAGATCTCCACATGCAAAATAATGGTGTTGTGCCCTTATATTACACACACAAAAATTAAAATTGGCCCCAAACCTAAAACTAAGAGCTACACTTTAAAACCCTTAGAAGAAAACATAGAAGAAAGCCTTATATTGGATTTGGCAATGACTTCTTGGATGATACCAAACACACTGTCCAAAAAAATAGACATCTTAGACTTTATCTGAATTTAAAACTTTCAGTCATCAATGGAAAATATGAAGCATAAAAAGACAAACTACCAAATGGGAGAAAATATTTTTAAATCACTTATCTGATAAGGTATTAATAATCCAGAATATATAGAGACCTCTTACAACTCAACCACAACAAAACTCAGTTTTAAAATGAGGACAGGCCAGCCTTCTACAGAAACACAGTGCTGGCTGATCTGATCACTCTACCCTCTGGACTGAACACCCACAGCACCCTGCCTCCCTGGATCAGGATAGCCCTCTAGAGCCTGAGTTGTTGAGGTGTCCCACCTCCCTAGGAGTGAAGCCAGCATTGCACTGCTCCACACTTCCCAGCCCCAAAGCCACAGATGTGCCCCCATCATTCTTGGACCCTTGCTGCCACTACATCTAACCTCACAGAGCCTGAGCCACTGCTGTGTCCCATTACTTCAGGGCTAAGAGTCACTACCTCTTTCTTGGTGCATGTGTTGCCACTGTGCCCTATTGGTTCTGTAATTGCAACTGTACCTTGCTCATTGGGGCCTGAACCTTTGGAAACCCTCTTCCTTCTCAGAGCCCTGCCATTGCTACACACTTAACAGGATGAGTCACAGCAACATGCCTGCCCCTGGGCCTGAGATACTGAGAAGTACCCCAGAGTCACAGTACTTGGCCTTGTGGGACAGCAGCATCACCCATGCCTAAGAGAATAAATGTGAACCTACACCACAGGTGCCATGGTAGCTCAACAAGACACTGAGCCCCAAACTCCAGCTTCACAGGTACTCTGAGCACCTGTTCCCTGTAACACAGCACTGCTGTGGCTGCCTCTGGCCTGCGTCAGGCTCAACACCAAAAAAGATGCCTTCAGGTAAATCTTCCACTATGGAGAAAACTAGAACAGAAGGATCTTTAAAGTCCTTCACACTAAGAAATGGATTCCACGACTGTACCTATTCAGAACCAGAACCACTGAACCTTGCCCAACTGATACCTGCAGACAATATCTGCAGATGACAATCTCCCCACAGAAGCCACTATAAAAACAAAAATTATAATTGCAGGCAAGATGGCCAAATAGGAACAGCTCCAGTGTGCAGCTACCAGTGAGACTGATGCAGAAGGCAGGTTATCTTTGCATTTCCAATTGAGGTACCTGCTTCATCTCATTGGGACTGGTTGAATAGTGGGTGCTGCCCAAGGAGGGTGAGCTGAAGCAGAGTGGGGCATCACCTCACCTGGAAAGCACAAGGGGCCGGGGAACTCCCTCCCCTAGCTAAGCAAAGCCATTAATGACTGCACCTGCATTCGAGCTCAGATAGTCTGCTTTTCCCATGCTCTTTACAACCTACAGACCAAAAGATTCCCTCCAGGGCCTACAACACCAGGGTCTTGGGTTTCCAGCTCAAAACCGGGCAGCCATTTGGGAAGACACTGAGCTAGCCACAGCAGTTTTTTTTGTTTTTGTTTTTGTTTTTTTGGTTGTTGTTTCATAGCCCAGTGGCACCTGGAACACTGAGAAAGAACTGTTCACTCCCCTGGAAAGGGAGGTGAAGTCAGGGAGTCAAGTGATCTGGCTTGGCAGGTCCCACCCCCATGAAGACCAGCAAGCTAAGATCTGCTGGCTTGAAATACTTGCAGTCAGCATAGCAGCCTGAGCTTGACCTGGGATGTTTGACTCGGTCATGGGAGGTGTGTCCACCATTGCTGAGGCTTGAGTAAGCGGTTTTAACATCACAGTGTAAACAAAGCCACTGGGAAGCTTGAAAAACTGGGCAGAGCCCGTGGCAGCTCAGCAAGGCCTCTGTAGGGCAGACTTATCACTAGATTCCCACCTCGCTAGACAAGGCATCTCTGAAAAAAAGGCAGCAGCCCCTCAAGGACTTATAAATAAAGATCCCACCTTCCTGGGAAAGAGCACCTAGGAAAAGAGATGGTTGTGGGTACAGCTTCAGTAGGCTTAAACATTGCTGCCTGGCACCTCTGAAGGGAGCAGCAGATCTCCCAGCACAGCGTTCAAGCTCTGGCAGACAGACTGCCTCTTCAAGTGGCTCCCTGACCTCCATGTATCCTGACTGGGAGACACATCCCAGTAGGGGCTGACTTTAAACCAACGTTAAAACCAGACTTTAAACTGACAAAGATCAAAAGAGACCTCATACAGGAGAGCTCTGGCTGGCATCTGGCAGGTAACCTTATGAGAGGAAGCTATGAGAGGGAGGAATAAGCAGCAATCTTTGCTATTCTGCAGGCCCTGCTGGTGATTCCCAGGCAAGCAGGGTCTGGAGTGGACCTCCAGCAAATTCCAGCAGACCTGTAGCAAAGGGGCCTGTTAGGAGAAAAACTAATGGAAAGAAATGCATTCAACATCAACAAAAAGGTAGATAAATCCACGAAGATGGGAAGAAACCAGCACAAAAAGGATAAAATCTTCAAAGTCCAGAATGCCTCTCCTCCACAGAGAGATCACAACTCCTCACCAGCAAGGGAACAAAACAGGATGGAGAATGAATTTCATGAACTGACAGAAGCAGGCTTCAGAAGGTGGGTAATAACAAACTTCTCTGAGCTAAAAGATCATGTTCTAACCCAATGCAAAGAAACTAAGAACCTTGAAAAAAGGTTAGATAAAATGCTAACTAGAATAACCAGCCTAGAGAAGAATATAAATGAGTTGATAAGCTGAGAAACAGCATGAGGACTTTGCGAAGTTTCAATAGCTGAATTGATTGAGCAGAAGAAAGGATATCAGAGATTGAAGATCAATTCAATGAAATAAAAAGAGAAGGCAAGAAAAGAGAAAAAAGAGTGAAAAGAAATTAACGAAGCCTCCAAGAAATATGGGATTATGTGAAAATAGCTAATCTATGCTTGATCAGTGTACCTGAAGAGAATGGAGAGAATGAATCCAAGCTGGAAAACACTCTTCAGGATACTATCCAGAACTTTCCCAACCTAGCAAGGCAGGCCAATATTCAAGTCCAGGAAATGCAGAGAATACCACAAAGATATTCCTCAAGAAGAGCAACCCCAAGGCACATACTCATCAGATTCACCAGGGTTGAAATAAAAGAAAAAATACTAAGGGCAGTCAGAGAGAAAGGCCAGGTTACCCACAAAGGGAAGCCCATGAGACTTACAGCAGATCTCTTGGCAGAAACCCTACAAGCCAGAGGAGAGTGGAGCCAATATTCAACATCCTTAAAGAAAAGAACATTCAACCCAGAATTTCATATCCAGCCAAACTAAGCTTTATAAGTGAAGGAGAAATAATATCCTTTATGGACAAGCAATT